TTTAGCAGCTCAAATCAGACATTTATAAAAAATTTATTTCATTAGAAGGAAATTTTTCTGCACACAAAAAATCAGTCTCTCCAAAATGATCACATCTGGAAATTTTTTAAATTTAAATTTTCGGCGCCTTATATTTCCGCAACAGTAAGCTTTTTCAAAATTCTATAAATGCAAATAACTAGCGGTAAATATCATGCCGTTGCAAATATTATTATTTATCCTAACTCACCTATTTAACCGTCAAATTTGACCATTATGAATTCAACCACTTCTTTGAATTTCCTATCCTTTCGCCCTAGAGTTTGCCCTAAGTTGGTATATTTATATGGATAAAATTAAAATAAATAACTAGTACGTAGATCGTTTTTAAATTCAGTTGGAGAGAATACTTTAAAATCTGTTTCAAGATAATATGATAAGTGCTGTGTTACAAATCATTATTTTGGTCCAACTTTTTTAAATTATGAACACATTTAATGAGAAGATTTTTAACCAAAAAAAAAATTAACGAGCAATTACAATTATAAAAATCATAATAATCATCTGTGTGTAAATTGCGGCTCACTTTTTAACAAGGTAAATTTTATTATAATATTTTTATTATGAAATTATAATATTACTTAACACCTGTTGTTAAATTGCTATATAATTAGATAAATCATTTAATTTAATTTACTTTAGTAAAACATATCATTACATTCATTAATTTAAAATTAATGTAACGTAACGCAGTAATGAAAATTTTACTAGCTGTAAATTAAATTAATTTTAATGAGTCGTGTTATTTTAATTTTTATATAAGCATTTTTCACAATGTGTAAGTATATAGGTGTAGGCAGGTATATATAGGTAAAGCAATTTACAGATTTCAGCTTGGATAATTAAGAAATTTTTGAAAATAAATCGAGTAATTTAAGAAGCGAGATTTTTCTTGGGGACTTGGAAATAACTTTTGTTGTAATAAACGTTTTATGTGTTTGTGTTTCAGCTGCTGTATGTGAATCGTAAGACAACTTGAAAATTTAGAAAAACAGGAGATAAGTTTATTTTACCATTGTAATAAATGTGATTTTCATCTTCTAAAAAATTTAGTAAAATTAGAAATAAAATGTAAAATGCAACACAAATCTTTAAGTTCCAATTGTGATTATAATTTAAGTATTGATATAATTATTACACATGTGCTTTAAAAGAGTAGAAAGAAAGTAATGAATACACAAGGCAAAAAAACGAAAAAATTTAAAATAATCTTAATAGCCTCTCTGCAAAATTACTAAACCTATGATGTAAAAATTGTAAATTTCATTCAAAATTGATATTGCTGAAACACGTTAGTAATCAGTATTTTATAATTAGATCGAGTATATTACATAGGCACATATGTACATATATTAAGTATGATATACGATCCAATTTCCAAAGGTTATTATAATATATTTATCTATATACGCTTATAACTGTAAGAAATGGATGTCTGAAGTAAAGACAAATATACATTTTTACTGTGAGTTAAATCGTGGGTCGATTTAGCTTTATCTGCCCGTATGTTCCAGTAATAACTTTAAAACAAATTGAGCTATCAAATTTTTATATTATAATTCAAGATATAACCACACAGACTTTATTGAATTAGGATTTGATCGAAGCACTAGTATAAGTAGAGCCATAACATGTTTAGCCTTAAAACTCGAAAAATAATTCAGGCGTATCTATGAAACTATATAAAGACGACCGCATTCATATATTTGCTATAATGCTCCGCCTTATGTCGAATTCATATAGTTTGGGGATAAGGGGAGCATTTTAGAAAAATTTAATTTTAGTTGTAAAAAGTAGCTGTCATACAATTCTTAAAATAATTAATATTATATCACTATACACAATATTTATATTTTGCATAAACGAGTTTGAGAACAAATTTAATCTTAGGTTCTATGAATTCTTTTGTTATATTCTTGTAAAACTTTTGCATGGGTAATAAAAAGTTGACATTGCCAATTTTTTACTTTTTAAGAATAATGTAGTCGCTCAAAATGGCAGCAAAGATTGTTTGACTTAAATTAAAATTAAATGAAAGTTTACAATTTTTCGTTTTCGTAAATTAATAATTATGCTTTATATACCAAGCATTTTACCGAAGCGGTAAAATATGTTCAATTGTCAATATACAGCAATATCTTCACACAAAAATTTTCTTATCACTCACTATTACAATAATTTATACTTTCCAAGAACATCTTCCGGCATATGCATATTAAATTCATAATAAATTTATTATGATTATATAATATTCTTATATTTTATTACAAGATTATCTAATAGATGCAGACACATTTTCATTATTCAATAAAAAGCAATCTAATATCTTGAATTACCGCATAAGTGTACACTTTACACTTGCGATGTGCAAGCATAAGCATACAATAATCAACGTAATTTCAAAAAAAATTTCAATTAAATCAATTTGGTCTAATAAAAGATTAGAAGGCGAAAAGACTGAATTTGTGAAGAAAAACAAAAGAAAGTGAAATTTATTTTTTTTTTCTGTATGAATTGAAGGAATGAACAGAATTTACATACGTAACTAGAGTGCATAATAATGAAGCCCCCCATTGCAACAATAAAAGATGAAATGTTTTGCTTTTTTTGTTTATTTTTTCTTTTTGGTTTTAAATTTAGAATACTATACTTATATTGTTTAACTTACGATTTCAAAAGTAAAAATAAAGAATAAAAACACACCTACATAATATTTTTATTTGTACAATCGTACTGATCGACCGGATCGGACCGCATGATTAATTTTTTGTAATATTGAGAAAATTTAATATGAATAAAATAAAATAAAAATTGTACACTTGCCAAATTTAATTTTTGGAGTGTTTTTCTCCGAAATCTAACAGAGCAGTATCTTTCTTTTTTAAAAGCTATTTATATAAATCCAACTGCTTCCAGTTCATTTATTTATTTTCAAAATTTGTACTATAAATTTAAAGCAGTTTTAGTATGTACGTAGATTTCTTTTCATTTTTTAAGGAGATTTTCTAAATTTATGATTATTTGTCGCCGTCATGCGAAGATGTTTCGTTCTATTTCTTTACTGAACACCGCCCAAAAAGGTGTCCCTTGCATAAGCTAAGAAGTTGGACTCCCCCTTGTGCAAATTCTGTATGGATAGTGACGAGACTGTTCTACAAATTCCTTGCGTTGCCTAATACTGACAGCCCGCTGTCGCAATTATTTTGGTTAGGGTTTTCTGATCGTTTGGGAGCATGCGGAGGCAAGAAGTCGCAAATGGCTGCGGTTGCCATCCCCGGGGGTGCTGCCCCAATCGGTTCCCTTAACGTTATCCCTTATCGGTTCGAATCTACCAATCTACTAATGATTAATGTTAATTTTTAATAAACTTTCAATTGCTTATTTTCTTGTATGATTAAATCTTAAAAAATGAATAGACTCTTCATTTTAGGAGTAATTTTTCTTTTACAAGAAAATTTATTTTTCAAAATGCAGTTATAGGCCTTGTAATTATACGGGTAACATTTATTTTTTAAACAATTACCTGCATATTATTTAGAAGTTCATTCAAAAAAAGAAATTTAATTTCCTTAAGGTTTTCTTATCAAAATATATAAAATGTCCAATTTATATGTTCTAATAAAAGTGTGAGTCATTTAAATGAGAAACTAATACAATGTAAAGTGTATAAAGCTTGAACAACATTAAGTTTTTGATGGAATAAGTCACAGTTAGCTTTAAGAGAATTTATACCTTATCATATTTTATTTCTGTATTTCTAAATTATCACAGTTTTCAACCCACTCATTTCTTTAAATTGTTTTAAATTTATCATTTTTAGAAGAAAATAAAAGTATTTAATTGCGAATTACAAAACTTTTTTTAAGAAATTAGAAAATCATTACTTTGTTTTACATATCGAACGAAAATTTACTTCTCACATATGTACATATATCAAAAAAGTCAAAAACAAATAATGCTGAAAGGTCGAAATAAATAACGCAATAACATCGATGTTCAACCCTGCTGGATTGTCAGTTTTAATTTCAGATCCTAATATTCAATCCTATCTCATAAGTATGTGAGATAAAAAGTGACAGGTTAGCAGGGTAAAATATCGGGAGACCCTCTAGCGTTATTTGTTTTTTCCCTCTTCGTTTTCGTTTTTGATCGCATCTATAAGGAAATTATATTTATAAAAATATTTTTGTAAGCCTTCCGCTAAAAAAAAGCAATATTAAAATTGTAAGAATTTGGAAATGTTTTTTTGAAAATACGCAATGCGGCTGGTATTGTTCAGATTTTTTAATTTCTTTATTTTTTAATTGAGACATCTAGGAGAAAAACAGTTAAAGTTGAGTTACATATATCTAAGGTAGATAATGGTTTTGTTAGTTCTCTTCCGCATTGTTATTGTCTACAATATCACTGTATAAGGCGATATTTTTAATCATTTTTGAGTTACTCTACTTTCAAGGGCTTATCCATTTATACATCATTAAATTGAAAAAGTAATAATATTGTTCACATATTATATATTAAATCCCTATTAACATAAGTATATATATTATATGCGTATTTGGTTATAGATGCAACATCTCCATACATTCTGTTTGTTTATTGATTATCTTAAATCAAATTATTCACACAATTAAATATTTCAATCAATAGTTTCATATTTATTACTTCTAATTTTAAGAAAAATATGATATCAAAATTTGTATAAGAATAAAATTGTTGTATTATAAGTTGCAAGAACTTGTTTAATCAAACGCCATCATACAATACAAATCGTTTAATGAAAATAATATTGTTAAAGCCATAACACTGAAACTGAAAGAAAAATAAATATAGTTTAACCATTTGTTCATTTATGATATAATAAATTTCATTTGTAGCTTTTGTACATGCAACAACAAAGTAAGTCAGTCAGTCAGTCAATCAGTTAATAAAATAATTTTCAGTCAGTCAAAGTTAGTCAATCGCGCACGTTCAAATAGGAAAATGGTATCGCGCATATAAAAATAAATTTAAAAATTGAATGTGTGTTTGGCAATAAAATAAAGTAAAAATTTTAAATTAGTGCAAGTTTAATGTCAATGTTACCTACATATAACAAGAAATAAAATACATATATGTATAAAAGAAATAATTAAAAAATTATGTAATTTTTATTTAATCCAATATTTAAGCCATTTTTTTTTGTTTGAAAATTTTAAAGTGAATCAAAAAAATATTGAATAATTTTTGATTTACGACACTCATGCCGCATTAAAAATTTTACTTCACAAATTTTTAAATTATAATAAAAAATATTATTTTCCGAATAATTGAATTTTTTATTGTAAATTTTATGTACATAAATTATTTCAATTGTAAAAAGAAGTTAAATAATAAGTCTTATGTAGTTAAAAGAATTCATTTAATTCGAAAAAAAAAAATTTAAAATTTTTAAACATAATTGAATATTGAATAATCAAATTAATAATTCAAAATTTTTATTTTTATAATATTTGCTAAATGTGGTGTGTTTTTTCTATTTAATATATTAACCGTTATGTACATTATTCTCTGCTCAAACCGTTTGATTACCATTGTAATTGTGTGTTTTTTTAGTAGGTAATCTTATGTCCCCCTTCTCTATTAAAATTCAATAAGAATTGTACGAAACGGTAAAAAAAATTTATTTTTACTACGTTTACATGTGGAATTGGAATAATAGAATGTGTACTATAATATTGAAAAATCAAACCAATTGAAAGTTCCAAAAAAATATTAAACACAAAATTGATGTCAAATTGATTAAATAGTAATTATGATTTATAATACAACAAAGCTTAATGGGATATTGTATAAATAAATAGTGAAATATAAAAATCTAATATTGTAAAAGACTCTAAAAAAAAAACAATTTTGCAAAAAATATTTTAATTATTAAAAATTTTTGTTTCACTCCCTATTAAACTAGTTTTTTTTAGCGGATTTTGAAAATACGAATATCAATAAAATCAAAAACAATATCGTAAAATTGATCGTGGGGGTTTGTACGCAATACCGAATAATTATTCTCACTCGAAAATTGTATTATACAAATATATAATAGTTACTCACTTTCTTCTCACTTGTCGAGTAAAATTACGAGATAGACAATCAGGCCCTAAATACTTAAAATTTAGTACAATATAATTGTATGCGATTAATAGTTTTCCGAATAATTTCCATGAATTTTGGTAATAAAATTAAAAAATTTATTGTAGTTCCCATTGTAAATCAAATTTTAAGTGATTGTTAAATTTCGTTGTTTTCATATTACTTAAAGTTTTATAACCTTTCTTAAAGACAAAATATGTGAAGTTTAATTTCGTTAGCAAATTATTGATTTTAATTTTCTAAAAATTAAGAATGATGAAACTATTTATAACTATATTATATTTATTAGTTTTGAAATTTTTATTTAATAATTCATATTTAATTTACTAAACTAAAAATCTTAAATTGGTGTTATTTGCGATATTTAGCTATAAGAGTACATATATTATGTATGTATGTATGTAATTTTCTATATATTTATTTTTATGATATTTTAAATATTGTTAACATTTAATATTTTAAGTTTAATACAAACTTAAAACAAGACCGGGACAATTGCTAAAAGAAAAAAGTTTTTTTTTAAATTGAACATATTAATAACATTTTGCTATACACGTAACGTACATATGTTATTTAGTTGTGTAATAACAAAATTTTATTAACACAAATAATTTTACAAAAATAGTTTTATAGCTTAATTTGATAATTAACTAGGGTTCAGGTTAAATATAATTTAATTGCATAAATTTTGATAAGCTGCTCTTCAGATTATTGTATTTTATATGTATAAATGTAATTGGTAATTCAGAATATTAAGAAATGTTAAGAAATAGATATGGGAAATCTGTTTTGTTTTGACTAAAATACGAGTATATGAGCTGTTCGTATATTCTTTGAGCTCCATACGTGCTAATTTGCACTTATTTATTAAACTATTAGTTGAATAAATTACTCTAAACTATAACATTAAATATATTTAAAATATTTTGAAATTATAAGAAAGCTATTATCAAAAGCAGGAAAGTTAATTTAACATTTTGTTTGCTTAAAATTTTGCAAAATATTTTGTATAATAAAGTTGAAATCAACATGAAGATTGAATATTTAAGAGCATTGCCGAAATATCTTGGTTTCCATTATATACATATTATGTATATACATATACTGTAAAAAGGATGTAAACCTTACAAAGTGTGTCCCATATTGCATATAAAAAAATTTCTTTATTATGCGTAACAAAAAGCAAAGAGCAACTTGAAAAAAATCTTGATGCTTTTATAACAAGTTTTCAGAATGACTAGTGACTTTAACTTATTTAACATTTTTTTTTAGCTATAAATTCCTTCTTTTTAACTTTTTTGTTACTTTTCGAATAAATTCTGATAGAGTTGATTTTAAGACCAGTGATAATAAAATGATAAAGTCATAAGCAAATGTCAAAATATACAGTTAAGACAATTTAGATGTCATGATACAAATACAATTCTTTACAAACTTTCTACACTACACTGCACATAACTTAAAGACTGTTTGAAAACACATTTTTTACAATCCGATCCAATATACCACAAGTTCTGTAAAAAATATTTTCCCTAGTCCAGTGAACTAAATTACGTTATTTAGTACAATTTATAAGAGTAGAATATTTATTTGAAAGTTATAAGTCATAAGTACCATAATATGATGTTCGTACATACATACATGTATTAAATTATATTTTTTGTCAAATTTCTTACATGGGGGCAATTATTTATATTGCAATCATATTGCTTGATATAAGAAATTATCTTTGAAAACAAAGTATTTTCCCATTCTTTAAAGATAATTAAAATAATATTTTCATACATTTTTTAGTGTTAGTTTTAATCTAAAATAATTAGGTATCAGAAAATGCAGTTACAAAATATGTAAACGTAGTGAAAGAATAAATTGGGGATTTTTATTTTTATTCCGATAAATAATAAATTGTGTGTTTTTTAAATTACATACCTATGGAATGTCAAATTACAAAATAAATATTTTTTTTTTAAATTTTTCTTTTCTATTTTTAAAAATATGAAATAACTTAATTAGATTTTAATTAAATAAATATTCTTTGAATGACTTAATGTGAAAGAGTGGTGGTAATTTAAGAAATACAACGCAAAATTATTTTAAAACTATAAGAGACAAGCAGAATCAAAAGCAACAAAAAAAAAGCAATTCGAATTTAGAATATTGGAGTAAATAAATTTAAAAATGGTTAGCAACACATTAACAATAACAAAAAAACCGGTAAGTTATAAAGATTATAATAATTATTCTAACATAATGTGCATTCAAAATAATTTACTAACACCAACTTTAAAATATGTTTATTTTACGTCAAACTCACCTTTGGTTGTATGCTATATTCTATAATGTCCACATATAGTACTTATGTACATATATTATAATATATATATACAGTATTTTACCGGGTATATGCACCATGTATACTCGTATAATTACAGAATGATTAACTCATATTTTGAAATAGAGATGAGGAATATTGGAAAAATATCGATTTAGCGGCAAGTTATCATCAGTACAAGAATATCGATACATTTTATTATACCCTGCACTTCGTGAAGGGTATATTAACTTTGGTATGGAGTTTGTAACTACTTGAAGGAGTCATCTGCGGTATGGACATATATTCGGGGAGCTGCCATACAACTCAAAGAGTTTATTTTAATTATTTCAAAAATTAATAAAGGTACAAATATAGAATTTTGTATACATGTGTCCAATTATATTCTACATATGCTCTAAAAATTTTAATGAGATAGCTGCACCGGTTCGGGCGGCTGCCATACAACTGCAAAAGCAAATTTTTTATATTCGGCAAAATAATAAAGTCAGATTCATGAAACTTGGCAGTCGTGTGCCCAATTATAGGTCAAAGATATTTCTGAAGTTTTGGTGGAATTGCTTGACAGGTTCGAGCAGCTCCCATACAAGTCCAAAAGCTTATTTTAAATATTTGGAAAAATAATAAAGTCAGATTCATGAAACTTGGCAGTTATGTGTCGGTTTTCGTTCTTTGGAAATCGAAACAAATAATATTCAAGCACCATTTTATTTAGTATTTTATTTACATTTGATTTACTATTTGTGAATTTATTCAAGTTTCTTATATGAAATATAAAAAAAATTTATAAGAAGGCAAAAATAAAATTTTTGAATGAAAGTCACTGCTGTCTATTATGTGTGAAATTCAATTTTAAGAACTAATTTGAAATGCCAAACCACAATTATTTTGTTCCGCCTAAAGTATTTCTGTCTGTATAGAGGTAAAAAAATTGGTTTACAAAACATAGTGTGTAACAAATAAAACATTGTATGATCCAAACTCAATATGTTCTTTCAAATTCATTTATATTTTGTATTTTTATTTCTCAACATTATTTTGTACAAGATTTTTATCTAATAATGATATCAATGCATAGAATATCGATATTTTCGGTATCAGATCGATATATAAATGCTGCTCGTGACTTTTGTAAATTGATTATAAAATTTTGAAATAATTACTAGTACTTACTTACATACAATATAAGTACGAGCTTATTTCTTAGAAATTGATTCACTTTTGTTTTTATTCATTGACTTTAAAAGGGGTTGTTTAAACAGATTTTTCTTAAATATATTTCTTTTTTTAAATTTTTATCGATCAAATTAGCAATACTTAATTTCGTATTTAAATTGTGAATTAACTATAAATATTTCTTAAAACTCAAATAAACTTGTATGTAATTTTATACTTCTTATTATTGCAACCATAAGATATATTGATGCAAAATTACAAAAAAATTGATATTATAAATAGGGGACTTAGCTGTCTAATTGGCATTATATTAAAGCATATATGCTTTTTGATATTAGAAAAGTTTTTAATGATTTTTTAGAAACTTAGATACTTTTATTTGTTTGGACCAAATAAATTGACAAATACCATTCACTTGGTTTTGGGCAGATGTCATATATATGTGATTTGTTAACGATATTGCAGAACTATAAAAATATGTTTTAATTTTTTCCCGTTAATCAGAGATAATACTTTAATTGTAGTATTGAATATAACATCTATGTACTGTAAAAGAAAATATATTTTGAGTTTAAAATTATACCTCTAACCTTAACCCGAAACAGATATATAGACGTTTATAATGAAAATAATGGCTATCATATCAGTAAATTTTAACGAAAATCTAATTTTGTGTATTTTAATAATTACATGAAATTTGCAAAAAACGATTTACGTTATCATTGTAATCTTTTTTAATGAGAAGAGCAGAAAATTATGGGTTTAAGTAGTATCAGACTGAAGTCTACAAAGAACATTCATGTATACAATTAAACACGTACATATATTTTTTTTGATACATGCATACATACATACATACATACATAGATAGGTATACGTATATGCCAAGTTGATACAAACACATCTGTTTTGTTTAAAAATTTTTATTGTTTTTATGTATTTACAAGTTAAACTTTTTAGCACTTTTCCAAAAAATTTTTTGAAAAAAGTGCTTATTAGTTTCACTCTGTCCGTCCGTCCGTCCGTCCGTCCGTCCGTCCGTCCGTCTGTCTGTCCGTCCGTCCGTCCGTCCGTCCGTCCGTCCGTCCGTCTGTCCGTGTGTCTGTTTACAAAACTTCTACACCCTTGAAGATAGAAAGCTGAAATTTTATATATACATAGATCTTTACTAGAAACTTATTTTCGTAGAACAAAATTTTTACCTATCTCCCCCCCTCTAGAAGTTATACCCCCCCAAAACCCTAAAAATGGCCTTTTTTAAATATTTGTTGCAATGAAACCATAAGTATTTTTGAAATTTTGCAAACGCAGAAAGGCAGCGGCTTGCTTCCCCTAGCGCGGTATACTATAGTTAAACTTTAGAAAAACAAAATGGCCGTTGAAATTTACCGTTATCTAAAGTCCTTTTTTTCCAAATTTTTGATGTCGTTTTTCTTCTAGATCCTATATTCTAGAACTTTGAAATTTTAGGGGCTTTTAGACATTAACAAATAGTTCATTTCGTTAGAAGAAATTTTTTTTCCATCTCCACCCCCTCTCAAGTTATCACCTCTTGAAAATCGTAAAATTTGAATTTTTGACACCCTATATTTCCGAAACCGCAAGCTTTTCCAAATTTTTATAAACGCAAAAAGCTAACGGTAAATTTCGTGACACTAAAAAATATAATTATTTTTCTTAACTCACACAATTAACCCTTAAAATCGAGCATTATGTTAACCCCTTTTTATGTTAATTTTTGCTTTATTTCAAAGACTGCATATATGCGTCATCCTAAATATATGCAATCCTAGTAATAGTTTTGTATATGAATGAAAATAATTTTTATAGTGTGATAGCTATACATAGACTGTATTTAAAAGCAGAATTTTCACTTGTTGAAGGGAAAAGTGCTACAATACAAACCATTGGTTTGACCCAACTTTATTGAATTTGACTTAAGTCAAGGTCAATATGCAATTCTATATTTGTGTAAATTACGGATCTATTACGGAACTATGGTGCTTTATTGAATATTGTACTATAATTAGATATAATATATTATAATTTAGCTTTTATATAATTTTGAGATTTTTTTAATCTCTAGTTCAATATAATTCTCGAATAATCGTTTTATATGCATGAAAAATAATTATACAAGGATTTTGATCAAAATTTGAACATTTTTTTAAAACCTCTCTTGGACCAAATTTAAACTATTCCGTATTGTTATTAGTTTACCTCATCTAAGAAATTCTTATTCAACGTGTTCTAGCTCATAAAACAAAATTTCTATATGTTTCATAATTTTTTTTATAAATTTTTTTTTCTGTTAAATATTTCACAAATTTAAATAATAAATGAACCGAAATTTAACACGTTAGTTTTGAAATTGTTAAACACAATTCCGATCTATATATAATTATAATTTCAAATATTTTTAATGATTTTGTATAGTTAATAATAGTTTTAATAGACTTTGGAATAGTTTTGTTCAATATTTTTCCGGCGTCATACTTATCAGATATATGTACATAAGTATGTATTCAGGTGCAGGCACGATATTATATTGCAGCGTGACAATAAGGTGACCAAATGAATGTTTTATTTTATGAAAAGCAACTTGCTTTATTTAATAAAAAAATCTCTGAAATTTTTTTTTCATTTCCTTGAAAAGTAAGTATATAGAATAGTCACAAAATGTATTTATCCCGGTATTCACATACGAGAATGGTCAATATTTTGTTTCAGTTTTGATATTTATTCTCCTCTATGTCATTAAATAGCCTATATTGCAATTATATTATTTATTTATTATTATAAATATACTGTTCCATAATTATGTATACATTCATATTTTTAAGCGAATAAGTACGAATGCTTTAGTAATTTACTGTAATCGAAGAGTTCTTTATTCGAGCATAGTTATTTCAAAAAATGTTATAACTGGTCACCTTAAAAATAATAATGGCATTGTACTAACACATTTAATTTAAATATTGTGCACAAAATTATTATTTTCAGTTTTCTGTGCATGTAATACCCATATATTTAAATTTAATGAATAAAATTAAGTTACAAGTGACATGCATTACTCATTGAACTCCAAAGTATACAAAAATTTTATAAAAATATACTTTTGCTCTTAAAATTTTTATGTAAATTAAATTTAATATTAGTTATATTATATTACAAATTTATTAATCTTATGTGATGTTTTTCATAAGCAGTCAATAATATTATTGAAATTTCAATTAATATTGAAGTAGTCACCTGTATAGGTAATATGCGTACTTATAAATAAAAAAATTCAGAATTTAAAATTAAATCTTTTAATATGCTGTTCATTTCGGAAAGAATACAAATTTCAATTATTAAATTCTGTAAGCAATTTTAACTATGTATATCTGGAATTATACAATTATCATACTTATGTAATTTGTTTGGCACTTTCAATAACATTTTTGATATTATTAAGAAATATTTTATTTCATATGGTTAAGTACTCAAAAAATTTTGAGTTGGCTCTAATTTTATGCTTCAAAATTCATAGAAATTATATGGTATGAATAAAAAGTAATAAAATAAATTGAAATATAAGGAAACCATATTAAATTTTTGTTCTTCAGATTTTTATATTACGCTTTAAGAATCGAAAATTATGATCGTATAAAAAATGGTGTTGCATATTCGTATATATATTGCCGAAAAATGGAAGAACAACTTC